ACTGTGATTGTTGTTTCTTTCTTTCTTTCTCTCTTTATCGGTCATTTGTTATGGATTCAGTTCCCAGTTATGAGTGAGAACATGCGGTATTTCTCTTTCTGTACCTGGGTTGTTTCACTTAGAATAATTTTCTCCAGGTTCATCCATGTTAGCATAATGTTTGCAAGGTTCATCCATGTAGCAGCAGATACCAGTACTGTGTTCCTTTTTATGGTGAATAATACTACACGTTTTGTATGGATCTACCACATTTTGTTTATCCATTCTTCGGTTGATGGACATTTGGGTGGTTTGCACTTTTGGCTGTCACGAATAATGCTGTTATGAGCATTCACGTGCAAGTTTTTGTGTGGACATACGTTTTCATTTCTTTTCCAGTTGCTGGGTCATTTAGTAACTCTATGTTTACCTTTTTGAGGAACTGCAAACTTTTTCCAAAGCAGCTGCACCATTTTATATTCCCATCAGCGAAGTATGAGGGTTCCACTTTCTCCACATTTTTGCTAACATTTGTTATTGTCTATCTTTTTGATTATAGCCATTGTGTGTGAAGTGGAATCTCATGGTTTTGATTTGCATTTTCTGAATTATGAATAATGAGCATCTCTTCATATACTCATTAGCAATTAGTATATCTTCTTTACAGAAATGTCTGTTCAAATCCTTTGCCCATTTTTAATTAAGTTATTTGTGTTTTTACTGTTGAGTTCTAATAGTTCTTTATATATTCTGGATACTAATCTTTATTAGATATATAACTTAAAAGTTTTTCCCCATTCGCTCTGTTGTCTTTTGACTTTCTTGATACTGTCCTTTGAAGCACAAATGTTTTAAATTTTGACGAAGTTCAATTTATCTACTTTTTCTTTTGTTGTTTGTGCTTTAGGTGTCACATCTAAAAACCATTCTCAAGGTCATGAAAAAAAATTTTTTTAAAAATTTTTGTTAAATCAAAATTGATTATATATATTTTGGGGGTTCACCATTGACATATTTTGATCAAATTAATATCACTAGCATATATATATTGTTACGAATCATACTTATTCTTTATTCCCCTTGTCCAATCTCACCCCCTCCCGCTGTTCCTCCCCCCTCTCCCTTCTAATTACCCTAGATTTCTTTTCTCCTTCTGAAAGAATAATGGTTACTCTGTTTCTTTGTTGCCTAGATGATCTGTCCAATGCTAAGAGGTGTGATCAGGTCCCCCAATATTACTGTAGAGCAGATGCTTCTTCTGTCACTCTGGAATAGTCTTTGTGGAGAGAGACATCCTCTTCTTTATCTCTGCTGGTGACTCTCCTTGTGTCAATGTACTCCAGTGGCTGGCAGACTATCTGCGTGGTGGTTGTGGTGTCCAGCTGCTTTCGGGGCAGCTGTGGTTATTGTGGTGGCTGTGGTGGGCCACCCACATGGAGGTGATGTTTCGGCATGCTCCTTGGTGCAGGCAGTGTGCCTGGTTGTGGGAGGGAAGTCCAGTCCCCTTCTCCATGCCTCAGGTCATCAGGCAGGCCCCGAGGCACTGGCATGGTATGCCTGGTTGTGTGAGGGGGATCTGGTCCCTTTCTCCATGCCTCAGGTTCCCGGTCGGGCCCCAAGGTGCTGGTGTGGTGTGCCTGGCTGTGGGAGGGGCTCCAGTCCCCTTCTCCATGCCTCGGGTCACCAGGCAGGCCCTGAGGTGCTGGCATGGTGTGCCAGGTTGTGGGTGGGGGGTCTGGTCCCCAGATCCATGTCTTGGGTCCCCAAGTGGCCCCCAAGGTGCTGGTGGTGTGCCCAGTTGTGGGAGGGGGTTCCAGTTCCTAGCTCCATGCCTTGGGTCCCTGGGGCGGTCCTGAAGCACTAGAGTGGTATGCCTGGTTGTGGGAGGGGTTTCAGTCCCCTTCTCCATGCCTTGGGTCCCTGGGTGGGCCCTGTGGTGCTGGCACAGCGTGCCAGGTTGTGGGAGGTGGGTCCAGTACCTGGCTCCATGCCTCATGTCCCACCTCAAGGATGGACTTGAGGTGCTGGTGGTGTCTCTGAGCTGAAACTAATTTTTTTGTCCTTTGCTTTCTTCTAAAGTGGGGGAACTTCCTGTTGGGACCAGTACTTGAGCTGTGTGGTTTAGCTAAATTGCTGCTTTGCTGCTGCTTCCCTAGAGAATGCTTTTTGTGCAGCACAGGTTATAATGGTTGACTTTATTTGTACTTCCGGCTCTCCAGAGACTTGGCGCACTTGGGTTGTGTAGCAACTCTGATCTGGGCCTGAGTCTTTTCATCATGCAATTCTATATTCCTGACCAGTCTCCTCTGAGTGGTCCTATGCTTATTGGGAGGCAGATCAGCTGTCCTTGCTGTGTCCTAATGTTTCCCTGGTGGGACTGTCCCACTGCCTGTGCTGCAAACACTTCCCATGGGATGGGCCGTACACCAGTCCCTTACGATGACTCACCAGCCTCTGAGTGGCTCCATTTATTCAGTTGTGGTGGCTCTTTGCTCCTATATGGGTCCATGGGAACCCTATTAGTGGTCTTGCTGGCCTGGAGGCCACCAAGGCCCTGTTCTCCCCTGCCACCTCCAAGCAACTCCATCCGAAGAGCACAGCTGCAGCTGTTGCTGGCTCCTGCTTTGTGTGCTCAGCAGTTCCAGACTTAAAGCAGCTGTGGCACAGAATGGTCAGAGCAGTTTTTTCTTTCTCTCATCGTGGCTTCTCCCACCTTCATGAACTCCATAGATCTCTCCTCCTCTTCCCCTGAGCTCTAGCAGCCCCAGCTTGGCTGTTGTTGCTTTTCTATGTAGTTGTAAATTGGTTGATTTCTGGGAGAGAGTGACACTAGGGACCATCTATTCTGCCATCTTGACCAGAAGCTCCAAGGTCATGAAAATTTTGAAGAATTTATTATTCTAAGAATATTATAGTTTTAGCTCTTATATGTAGATCTTTGTTCCATTTTCAGTTAATTTTTATGTATGGTGTGAGGTAAGGGTCTAAACTCATTCTTTTACATGAGGATATCCAGCTGTCTCAGCACCATTTCTTGAAAAGATCATTCTTTCCCCCGTTGAATTGCCTTGGTGCCCTGTTTGAAAAGAAGTTGTTCATAGATGTGGGTTTATGTCTGGACTCTCAATTCTATTCCATTTATCTATATGTCTACCTTATGACAGTACCACAAAGTCTTAATTACCTTAGCTTTGTAATAATTTTGAAATCAGGAAACATGAGTCCTTCGACTTCATTCTTTTTCAAGATTGGTTTGGGTATTCTGTGTCTCTTGCATTTTTATGTGAACTTTAAGATCAGCTTGTCCATTTCTGCAAAAAAAAAAAAAAAGGCAGCTGGAATTATGATAAGGATTGCATTGACTCTATAATAAATTTGGTAGTATTGCCACATTAACAGTAAGTTTTCTGGTCATAAATATGGGATCTTTTTACAATTATTTAGGTCTTCTTTAATGTCTTTCAATGCCATTTTGTAGTTTTCAGTGTACAAGTCTTTACTTCTTTTGTTAAATTTATTCCTAAGTATTGTATTATTTTTGACATTATCATAAATGGAATTATTCTCTTAACTTCATTTTCAGATTGCTCATTGCTAGTGTATAGAAATACAACTTAATTTTTTATATTTATCTTATATCCTGTACTCTTGCTGAACTCATTGGTTAACACTAATTATGTGTCTCTGTGTGTGTGCATATTCCTTAGGATTTTCTAGATACAACACCATGTCATGTGCAAATAGAGTTAGTTTTACTTCCTCCTTTCCAGTCTGGATGCCTTTTTTTTCTCTTTTTCTTGCTTAATTGCCCTGGCTAGGACCTCCAGTACAATGCTGGTGAAAGCAAACATGTCTGTGTTGTTCCTAATCTTAGGGGTAAAGCTTTTAGTCTGTAACCACTAAATATGGTGTTATCTTTCTTTCTATGTCCTTTAAAACCTGTTTAAGATTACATTTATTTTTTATTATTTAATTATACATGGTAACAGAAAATTCAAACAATACAATAAGCTATGCAGAAGAAAACAAATACTCCCCCAAATTCCACCAACATCAATATATTTCAAAGCCTTTTCTATGCATTATGTATGTGGAAAATATAGAGAACTTTCCATAAAAATGACCTGTTTTGTGACCAGGGTTATTTTCCCCATACCATATTGTTTTGGGGCCATCTTCCCATGCCTGCAACCAAAGATTTACACCATCATTTTACAGCTACCCACATTCTGTATCGTACGGTTGGACTATAATTGATTTATAATTGATGAATGTTTGTTTCCCTTTTTCTCCCTATTTTATAAACAAGACTGTGATGAACATTCTCATCATATCCTTCCCAACGCTGTGTATTGTCAGATCTTTCTTTTTTTTGGTTTGTTTCATTGTTTTTTCTTTTAATCTTTGTCAGATGATCACTAGAGATTTTGGGACAGGAACCTAACACAATCAGAATGGGGCTTTTGAAAGCTAACTCTGGCATTTCCAACTTACTCTGTACCTTGGGAAAAGCCTGTTTCTTTTCTGGGCCTCAATTTCTTCATTTGTAAATTGAAAAGGTTATCCTAAATTACTGGTTATCAAACTTGGCTGCATGTTGGAGTCACCTGGGGAGTTTTAAAAAACACAGCCACCAGAGTCCCACCCCTAGAGATTTTGATTTAATTAGTGTAGGATACAGCCCAGGCAACAAGATTGTACAGATCTCCTTGGGACTAGAAGATTTGAAGGTCCTCCCTGCTCAGATATTCTTCTGTAGTGGAGCTCTCACTTGGACACCTGCTTAGAGGGAGGCTGTTGTGGAGCAGTGGAAAGATCTGTTCTTGGCGGCCAGGGGACCCGGTTTGAATCCTAGCTTATTTCGCTCCTATCTGACCCTTTGTCTTCTCTAAACTTCCATTTCCCTACTCTTGGAGAGGGACTAAAATCCTCACCCACCACCCAGTTTTCTGCATGTAGAGGTGGTTTAGGTATTGCACACATGGAACGAGTGGTGATTATTGTTCTTTTTTTGATCAAAGAGCCAGCCCCTGGGCAACAAAGTGGAAATGGAGATCGTGAACATGTTGGAAAAAAACACAACACTTCTCAAATTCGGCTACCACTTTACCCAGCAGGGGCCTCGGCTTCGGGCATCCAATGCAATGATGAACAACAACGACCTTGGTGAGTGGAAATATACCTCCTGCCCTGCCACCTGCCCATCGTCCCCTCCACCTGTGCTGGGTGTGGCGGGGAAAATTCCACTGACGCTGTCTCCAAGGGTCTTCTTCTTAAGCCTAACTCCTGAGTTTCACGTTGATCGTGTCTTCCTTGTTTTCTGTGTCTGTGCCTGGTCCCCATCCCTAGACTGAGTGCCTGGTCCCCATCCCTAGACTGAGAGCTCCCTGACTTCAGGAGCTGAGGCTGAGCCCCCTCCTCCCCGCAGCACAGCTCAGCACAGGCTGGGCCCAGAGCCCGTATCAGTGTGTTAGCAGAAGGAAGTAAACTTTGGGAGGGCCCAAGGCTCACCACGAGTCTTTTCCTCTTCTGAAGACCCTTCTCTGAACTCCAGACCATACAGTATGGCTTTACCCCCAATTCCAAAGCTATCAACCAACGCTAATACCAAAACCCCAAGCCAAAGAGACTTCACATTGATTTTAAGGAAAGAGTTGACAATGTCAACTTCCTAGTAAAGTAAATGCAGGTTATGTTAATTTAATCTCAGTTAAAGTCATAGTTGGATTTTTTTCTAAAAAGAAAAAGAAAATGTCACGGTCTTTCTTGATGATGAGTCAATAAAATGAAAAGTTGGATCAGTCGTTAACTTACTACTAGATGCCAATTGTTCACAGCTCTGTGTAGTTAGTTATTTTGTGTATTCCTGCTGGCTGCTAGAAAGAACTCGATGTGTACAATAAAGGGAGTATGACTGACGAGGCTACAGGAAAACAGGAGGGGGAAAGAACAGACCCAGCAGCAGGTCTGTATTGTTAACATGATTGATCAGTAGATTTAGCTCTGAGTTTCCTAGAACCAAGGCAGGAAGAAAACAAACCAAAGTACATTACGTTACAGAAGAGAAGGGAGTATGACGAGTTTGGTTTTTTATTTTTAAAAGCATCTTTCTGGGATTAAATTATGAAGTAAATATATGTGTGAAGGACATTGTCTTTGGTGAATTTTTCATCAAATCAAACCTGCTCTACATATGGCTCTTTCTGGTTTCCAGCCCTCAGTAAAACGCAAAGAGCCTAATACTAAAGCACGATCCAATGTTCAGGTACGTCGCTTCCTGGTGACTCATCTGAGGCGATGTTAGCACAGGAGTGGGGATGACTGCGTAGGTGTGTACGCAGCAGGCAGGTCTCACAGACACACGTGCATAGGTAGCCACAGAGCTACGCACGCTCACGCTCCACGCATGCCTTAGATGGAGTTACTCAATTCCATGAGCACTTATTAAAGTCTTATAAGGCACTGGGTATTGAAGATATAGGTTCCTGCTGTTAAGGATATCATAGCCCAGGGGCTAGTCCTACAGATGCCACTTTTCTAGAGCCTCAGGTCTAGAAAATCCCATTTAAAAAATGTGCCTGGCATCTTGGTTTATTAGAAGTATCTTTACTTGAAATAAAATAAGAACAAACACAAATAACTAAATCACAGTTGTTGTATCACAGAGGTGACATGGCTAAACTGAATTATTGAAGAAGGCGGCAGTGGAACTCAGCTGGCCTAGCTGTGATCTGGCTGCAGAGCCAGCACTTAAAAGCCTTGATTGTTATCCTGATGTGCACTAATCTCACACTTTTTTCTACCAGTTTAGATTAAGCTTCTTATGTGTCCCTCAGTACCTATTAATGGACTAACCAAGCTTTTTTGTTTCAATATCATGATGGTCTGGAGGTCTTTTTTCTGGGGGTAGTCCCAGACAGCCAGAGGTCAGCAGTGCTTCAGAGGGGGCCAGCAGAATCTAGCAGGTAGACAAAAAGGCCTTTGAGAACTCTCCCAGTCCTGAGAGTCTGAGATTCCAAACTTCAGGCCCGACTCCCATCACCAAGGACTTTCAGAGGCCATGGTAGGAATCTAGAATGCTAGAGCTGAAAGGGACTTGTAGCTCAGCCCTCCAATTCCCTTATAGAGAAACAGAAGCCTGGGGTGGGGATAGGGGTGGAGGTCTAAGCAGTGGCTCAGTCAGGTCACACTGGTGGTTAGTTACTGTAAGCATTTTCTGAGTGACTTTTGTGTGCCCAGGGGTAGCAGAAAGGGTAGTTCTCTGACTCAAGAAGCTTCACAAACTTTTAGGGGAAAAAAGACTCTAAGACATGCCTAAAAATTCTAGAATGCCTACAAACTCTATCCAGACAAAGTAAGGAAATGATTTATGAGGACAGAATCCAGTTAAGCAAAGTGTCCTGGCTGGGGGTGGGGCATTAGCCAGCCTTGAAAGGAAGAGAGAGGTTGATGGGGGAGGTCAGGAGGCATTCCTGCAGGGCTTCTAGGAAGTACTAGGAAAGAGGACTAGGGGTGCAAAAAGCAAGGTGGTGGGACCCAGGATACAGGATAGGAGAGGCAGAAAGACCTAAAAGGATTGGAGGAACTGTTGTAGGGGGTTAGACCTAGAAGGAAAGATAGGAAGGGAAGGGCATTCCAGGCAGAGGGGACACATGAGCAAAGGCAGACGGTTGGCAGTGTATGGGGTGTTCACAAAGAATAGGGCTGGGGAGGTGCTGGGAGGATTGATGGGGCCAAGGCCTTTAGTGCCAAGCTCAGGAATTTAGCAATGGGAGCAGGCGGGAAGTGGGAACCATGGCAGTTTCCTGGTCAGGGATGCCAGGTGATAAAAATGGGCCTCTGAGTTAGTTCAGGGAACTGTGAGCAGCTGCTTCCTTGGGGTTTCCCACAGGGGGAATTAAAGCAGAACCATCTCAGTGACTGCAGGCAATGTTCAGAGTGCTAGTTGGTGATGTAGGATTTCTAGCTTTAAAATCAAATGTGTGCCCATCTGCTAATTTTCATAAGAGAAACCCTTCTGATTCTGCTGGTACATCAGCTTCCTCCTGCAAGAGAGAAACCCTGACTTTCTTTCCAACACGATATTTCATTCTGCTCTCAATGCTGCAATGAAGCAGACAGGCTTCCATGTTTTCCAGCTATATGTTTCTATGATAAGAGCCTCCTGCCGGCCTCCCCCAGCACTGTGGTGGTTAGCAGTAGCTGTGCTGCTGCAGCCCCGGGAGCAGAAGGGAGCAGGCCTCTCAGGTTTCCTTCTCACTCCAATCTGCCTCCGTGCTGGCTCTTGGCCCATGGCCCATGGCCGGGGCCTCTGTGGTGCTAGGACCTTGCCTGCCTGCGAGGCAGGCGGGCTCCTTCTTGGTGGACATTCCATTCCCAAGGCCACCGGCTCAGCCAGTGCCTCTACAGACAGGTGGCCTTCCTGTGACCCAGTCTGCCTGGTGCATCTTTGGTTCTTCCTACCGTGCCCTGAGTTCTTAATGCAGTCATGTGTGTGAGTGCAGGGCGCCAGGGTGCGTGGGCTTCAGGGAAGAGCTGAGCTGCCAGTCCCATCTCCCCATCTCCATTTTCCCACAGCAACACCTCGGATGACTCCTGTCTCCTCACTATTTATAGCTAAGAGCCAGGCTAAGTGTAG